GGGGGTGTCATTACACAACAGCATTAATGCCAAGATATGGAGACTACTGCCAGTTTAGTGCCTGCCTATCCAAGGATGATTGGCTGGATTCAGCATCACTTCCCACCATCATTTAGCCCTAAGCTTTCTTTAAATAGCTTTTCTTCCAGAAAAACATTTCAGAAAGCATGTCAGAGCAATATATTTTGACTGCTATGTTCTAGGGTATAAGAATACGTAAGACATAATTTTTTAATGAATGTATTCATTTTTTAAAATATGCTTTGAGTACCTTGCACTGCTCCTTGAAGAGGTCAGAGGTCAGTCCTTTGAGGATGGCCCACCCTGGTAGACATAGGTTGTACTGGTCAGCAATGCAAAGTCACTGGGGCACTTATACTGGGGTTTTGGATTTTGAGTGAGAGACACAGATTGCAGAGCTAGTGAGCAAATGTTCATGGTGGAAATGGCATTAGAGGTTGGAGTCATCCAAGCTGATCACAAATATAAAAATTCCTTTTTGGGGGCTCAATAGGATTAGACATCTCTACCTACTAAGGAATTAAGCATTGTTATATGCCTTGCATTGGTGAATGAAGCATGAGAAGCAGCATGTGTTACATCACAAGGAAGCTCTAAGAGCCACTGTGTGATTGGTCTCATGCTTTCCTTTTCCAGGCCCTTGGATCATGGAAGGAGGATTGAGATGCAGCCTTCATCAGCCTGAAACTTTGGGTGACTCCAAGAAAGGAACAGATAATGTTAGACAGATAATGGGAGTGAGAAATTAAGACATTCAAGACATAGAAATGTTGGGGCTGTTTGTTACTGCAGCGTAACCTAGCTGATACAGTCATCCAGCAGTAAACATCAGCATTCAGTGCCAGGGATGGGAGATTGAGGGTCCAGGGGTGGTACCGTCGGGTGTACACAACGTGATCAGCCATGACTTGGGCTACAGTTTTATTGCATAACCTCTCTTGGTTCCTGTGATTAAGTTGGTTGTAAGTGATATCCTTCCAATAAATCCCTTCTTGCTTAAATCATTCAGGGCAGGTTTCTGTTGCTTGCAATCAAAAAGCCTGCTTAATATTAAATGTGCTTCATCCAACGGGAATCTGATTCCAGCATGCTCATTACTGTCCTAGCTACAGGCAGTGTAGGCAAGTTGCTATCAGGATCAGTAATGAATAAGTACTCCCTAATCTCAAGTAATTGAAAATCTCATTAAGCAAATAATATGCACATAAATAAAGCTAGCCGAGAAAATTAAAATAAGCATGTGAAAATGAAGGCGTGTGTATTCTTTACTAGAAACTTTCAGTACAAAACCCATATAGATTTAAAAGGTCACGTGCATTTTAATTTCTTTGTGTTACCCTCCACTCACCAAAACTAGTCTTTTAATTTGAACAGTATTTTATCAACATGATAATATGATTACCACAACGGCATCTGGTACACAGTAAGCACTAAGAGTGTATTTGTTGAATGACTAAATAATGAATGTGACCAGAGGCTCACAGGCTTTTTAGAATTAGTGGCCTAGGCTTCAAGTCTTGCTATAGCATTATTAGCTCCTGGACAATTTTCTTGGGGTTCCTGAGCCTTCAGATGGAGACTCCCCCAAATTCTCACCACATGAAGGGTACCCCCTTGCCTTCACTGGATTGTTTGATAACTGATAAGCATTTAGACACCCATGTAGAGTAGTGCATGTATGCACAAACTCCTCTAGCCCATCTCTCTTCACAGGGGAGTTCATAGAGGCAGTTGCTCAGCATTTAGCAGAGGCTGCACATGCTGCTGAGGACTGAGAATCAGCAGTGAGCAGGAAACCAGCCTGGTGATGAGGAAGGTCAGGGAGCTGTGCATCTACACTGCAGAGGAAGCTTGGCCCGAGCACTAGTAGCAACCAGCAGTTTTGCCCTTTGTACTTTTCCATAGTTCTGGACTCCCTGCGTCCCACCCTCTGTAGTTCTAGCTGAGAAAAAAGCAGAGGTCAATGTAGCAGATGCCCCATGACACCCGCCCAGGACCCACTTCTCTCCCTCCTCACTACTGGAATCCTGATTTTCTTCAGGGGAGATGCATGTGCCGTAAGACTGTGTTCCCAACTGCAGCTAGGGATGGCCATGCGGCCAAAGACAGGAAAAGAGACATGTTCTGGGCATTTCTAGAAAGCTCTGCTTCCCTGACGTAGGCGGCACCTCCTCCTCCAGGCACTTCCTTCTCTTCCAGTCTGGAACAGGAAGTGGAGCTGACATCTTGTGCTTCTGAGCTTTCTTAGGAAGAAAGAAATCCACACACCAAAGATGAGGAGGGGAAAGCTGAGGAGCCCAGGGGCTGGGTGGCATTGCAGAGCCACCCTACTGGGATGGATAAGAAACTGTTGAGGTTTTCTGTTGAACAACGAAATTCTAAACCTTTAACATCATTTTCTCCCACCTGTCAAACATGTATTGAGTTGCTACTACATGCTGGACCTTGGGCTACAGCAGAGAGCAAAAAGGATTAAGTCACTTATTTTTGGAAGAGCGCAAGGGAAGCAACAGGGTAAGCCAACTATAAGTTATGGAAAAGTTCTGACAGAGCTGCACACCAGGGAAGGAGGGGCGTGTGTGAGGGAGGGAGGGTGGGCAGAAGCTTACACTTACACGGGGTGACAGGGAGGTTCCCGGAGAGAAGGGGTCCCGCTAGGACCTGAGGACCAGGGAGAACGCGCCCAGGGGAGGAGGAGGGTGTGTGCGGAGTCAGGAAAAGCAGCATGCCCTGGATGTTGCTCGATGAGAAGGACCAGAGAGGCTCTGAGATGGCAGCAGGTGTGAGCGTGGGGGCCCACAGAGGTGGGGCTGGCGAGCATCCCTGCAAAGGGCTGACAGCAAATGTTCCAGGTTTGCAGGGCGCTGGAGCTCTGCTGCCTGTGCTCAGCTCCCCTGAGAAGTGCGACACCAGCCTGGCCAGCCCAGGCTCCAAAACTTCTCTGACTACCAGCATTTGGGGACCCACCTGGGCCTGGGTGTGATGTAAGGTTTCCCCCGGGGGCCCATACACGGAGAGCTGGGGTGGCACCTCTGAGAGGCCAGGCCTGGCCAGGGCTGCAGAGGACTGGAGTGGTCCTGGGGGACTCGGTCCTGCGGGGAGCAAGCCGGGTGCTACAGAAGCCTGGCCCCTCCCACCGCTCTCGGCCCCTCTCTGGCTCCCCTCTTGCTGTGGGATCCCTGCATGGCCTCACCTTGAAGCCTCCTGCTGCATGACATAATCAGAGCTCTTTGACTTTCTGCCTCCAGAGCCCAGAGCTAAACGAGACTCTTTTCCTCATAAACTACCCAGCTTCTGGAATTTCATGCCATCCATGGCAGGAGACTGCGACGAGATGCAGGCCCTGCAGCTTAACAGGCCTTGCAGCATAACAACTGGGCTTTTCCTGGAAGTATCAGGAAGGACTTGGGGTATTGCTGGAAGGATCTGGTTGCTACTAGAAGGACTCGATCCGAATTGCATCTTAACTGGATTGACCTGGGTGTTGGGAAGGAATAGAAAACAGACAGTGGGGAAGAAGGTGAAAGCAGACAGACACCTTAGGAGGCTACTGCCATATCCAGGCTTGTGCCACACAAAATAATTTTTTGGTTTGCAGATCATCAAAAGAGTAGGTCAGGCTGGACATGACGGCACACGCTTGTAGCCTTAGCTACTTGGGAGGCTGAGGCAGGAGGATCACAAGTTCAGGGCATTTAAACGAATACAAATTTACTTCAAAGAATTTTTTTTTCTGTCAAGCCCAGGATGAGGAAGAGTGGATCTGGGTCAGAGAGGAGAGGAGGTGGCCACTGTCTAGCAACCGGACCTGCACCTCTGAAGCTCCTGGGAATCCAGGGGTTCTTCTAAGCATGCAGAGGTGAGTGGATGGCTGAGTGAGTGAGCTCACTTGCTTTGGAAAGTGTGGGCATCGTGAAACAGCCATGCATTAGTGGAGAGAACATTGCTTATGTCAGAAGTGTACTGGCCCTGCCAGCTGGAATGGGGGGGGTCATGGTTTCTATCTGGGTGGGCCCCAGAGCCCCGCATGCATGGGGGTGTGATACTCATGAGTGCATTAGTTCGCTGATGGGCTTTTGGCTAAACAGGGAGGTGGGGAAGTGAAGCCTGGTTGGAGGAGGCCTGGAGGCGTGGCCTGGAGGGCCCATCCCCCTTCACACTCTCTCTGCTTCCGGTCAGCCCTGCCCTGAGCAGATCTCCTCTGCCAGGCCCCTCTGCCTTGGAGCCAGCTGACCACAGACTGAAACGTGAGCCAAAGCAAACCTTTCCTTCCTTAAATCGTGGGTGCTGTGTCTCAGCAATAAGAAAGAGACTAAGTGGGGTGGGGACGAGTCCCCCACAGAGGACCAGGCCCTTCACAGTGCTAGGGGAACCCTCTGGCCGAGCTCACCTCAGCACACCAACCGCTTCACAGCTGTCCCCCTGGGACAGGTAGCCAGCCTGGCTCTAGGTCAAGCTCTATGCCAGCACTGTAAGGGAGGGCTTTGCTTAATCTTAATAGCAAATTTATGCTAGAAGAAGGATATTTCCATTAACGGTGAGGAAATTGAGGCTTTTGAAAGGCAAGTAACTAGCTGGCGTGGTGGTGCACGCTTATACCCCCAACACTCTGGGAGGCTGAGGCAGGAGGATCATAAGCCTGGGCAGCTTAGTGGGTTAACAAGACCTTGTCTCAAAATTTTAAAAATTAAAAAAATGGCTGCTGATGTAGCTCAGTGTGAAGGGCTTGGGTTCAAGCTTCAGAATGGAAAGAAAAAACAGTAACTCACCCAAAGACACGCAGCTATGGAATTATGGAGCTGGGATCCAATCCCAATAGTTCACTCGAGAGTCAACTTTTTCTTGCCTCACTTTCTTCTTCTTCTTCCAGATTTATAATTTCCCCGAATTGTTAATATGGAAGGGCAGAAGCGGCAGCTCCCCCACTCCACCCCACAGGGCAGAAGCAGCCACAGACAAAACAGGAGCGAAGGGCAGGGCCGTGTTCCAATAAAACTTTATTTACAAAAACGGGATGGGGCTGAGCTGGCCTGTGCTCATTGCTTGCTGATCCCTGCAATACGTCATCACTCACTTCTCTTACTAGCACCCCACTGGGTCAGTCACCCCTGCCGCCCTCGTGCCTGTTCTGGAGTGAGACAGTCCCCAGACCCCAGGGTGGGTGAGACCCCAGAGGCCGGTCAACAGCTGCATCAGCTCACCTGGGCAGGCTCCTTCTAGGCTCAGGTGCACCCTCAGCTCTGGGCTGCAGACTAATATGTATCTTCTATTTTAAATAAGGAATTGGAAGATATCATAATGCTTTCTCTCCCTCCTACTTTCCTTATGTCCGGTGGCACTGAAATGGGAATGCGTATTTTGGGGATCTGGCCACAGAGGAGCTGGAGTGTGCAGAAGCATCCTGCCCAGGGGGTATTTCTGGGTTCACAGCTGGCCGTGTGTATGTCAGGCTACTGCCCACCACGCTAGGCTGGCGTGGCTTCTGAGTAGTCCTCGCACCCACCACCGCTGGGATGCAATACTGACTCGAGCAACTTAAAGGAGGAGCCGTTACGGTCCATGGCCGGCCGGCTGCAGGGGAGGAAGGCATGGCCGAGGGGCTGTGGAAGAGCAGCTCATCCATGGCAGCCAGAAGTGGGTGCAAAAGGAGGAGCCGCGGAGGGAGATGAACCCTTCCAGGCCACGCCCCAGGGACCGCCCCCAACCAGACTCCGCCTCCTGAGGGCAACTCCAGGGTGAACCCATCCATGCACTAATCCACCAGTGAGTATTGCACCCCATGTCCAGTCATGTGGCAAACACCCCAGATCTAGACCGTAACATCCCAAGCCCATCTCTAGCGCCAGGGCTGGCCCACCTACTCACTGTGACAGCTTGGGATGGCTCCTGGTCCTGCTCCTCAGCCCCTCACCATGCAAGAGGGAAGACACCTGTAGTCTTATTCCCGTCAAAGTGCTCTCTCTGACAAGCCAAGCACCTGGACGTTCCACGGATGTGGGGCGTCTCTGAGGATGCAGGACCTTCAATTCTAAATTCAAAGAGCTTGATCGCTATGTGTAGGAGTTTATAGGGAAGAAAACACTCTATCTCGCATCTTGATTCTTTCATTCTTTCATTCTTTCATTCATTCATTTGTGTGTGCACAGTGTGCCCCTCTGTACCTGTGCTGTGCTGGGCACAGGGACACGGTGGGAGCAGATGAGGTCCTTGTCTTAGACTTGTCAGTGGGGGAAACAGATCCCCACTATCAAACAAGAAGAGTGCTCTGGGGCCGGGAATTTAGCTCAGTGGTTCTGGCGCCTGCCTTACAAGTGCACGGACCCAAGTTCAATCCCTGGTACCAAAAAAAAAAAAAAAAAAGAAAAAAAAAGAAGAGCGCTCAATAGAATTACAAGTAGGAAACTGAAATCGAGTAAAAGTGAGGGTTAGGAGG